ATCAGATATAGGGTTTCAAAACCAAACTCACGGATATGCGAAACACAAGACAATAACAACAAACATGTATGCCGTATTTTTAACTTTGATTATAAGGAGGGTTCGGCTCTTGATGAAACTTAAGAAAAACGTTCCATTTGAAGAAATTGCATTGTACGATTCAGTATAATCATCCTGTACAATTTAATTAAGTTGCATGAATACAAATACATTTTATGTTCCTTTGTTTTTGTGGAAGTCAAATTGCCACATAAAAGTACAGTAAACGTATTGAATATAAACATTCTGTTTTCTTTGCATTTATCTGCTCCATGTATATATGGCTCTGCCTAGACGATGGGGAACATATTACGAGGAGCAGACAGCACGTGCTACAGTGGACTTGCATTTAATTGTAACCTAAAGGACAATGGTTAAAATTCTCAGCTAGGACCTATATGCTATAACTTTGATAACTGGTTTTTAACTTCAACCGGCAATGCTTAAATTTAATCAACCAAATAGAAAAACGTAGTAATTTGCCAAACCGTACGAAATTACCTATCGTCAATGTATCTGAAGCTCTTTCATGAATCGATTAAGGCTCGATTGAGTTAGTAGCTTATGATTAAAAAATAAAACAAGAAACGGCTTTGCAGTCATATAAATTTTGTGGCCTTCGTTTTTTTTTTTTTTTTTTTTAGTAAAATGCGCAATATTTCCAGGCAGGGCAAACAGTTTTATTTAACAAAATATGACGAGCCAGCCAATCGACCATAAGGAAGACCACTGAGCAATTGCAGGATAGACTAACTTAATGTTATTCTTATAACAGGCTTAATAATAAGGGTAAGCTCTATGCTGTTTAGCCATAACATTATTGCTTAAAAACAACATTATTCCAAAGTAGCTGGATTAATTTTTATATAATAAGTCGCCTGCTGTTGCTGTTTGTTTGGGTGTCGGTATTATTTGAATGCTTTGCTGTCAATAGTCCCAGACGGTTTTAACTGTGATGAGGATAGTAGGCTATTATAAAAATACTGTTATTGCATCGAAAATGTAGATTTACAAATTACAGTACAATTTTGTTTCAGTGTGGCACATTCTTTTTTATTTCATTTTAAATTTTATTGCAATTATTTTAATTAACATTTTAAATGAATGAATTTTATGAAGGGCTTAAAGAAAAGGAAGTACATGTTAATCCATTAATTTAATTTAAGGAAAGTAAAATCCTTACAATGTTATTTTAAATCAGATATATGGAAGCATAATACCTAACAACATCAATAATTTAATGATACAGTTATTCTGCTTAGCAGAATTATCGTCCATTATAGCCTGTTAATTTAATCGTCTGTTGCGCATGTTGACATTGTTTATTGGGATTTACCGCGCCAAGGCAATGGGTGAATAGTTGGGATTTGCTGCCCTCTAAAGGTGAAACAGAAGAGGAGACATTTTCTTATGTCTCTATTTAAAACTGACAAGAAATACATTAATTTAAAGCTTGATTTTCCCATTGTAATTGCACAGATTATTTTTAAAACCGTTGTCGAATTCCACTATAATAGGAACACATGGCCATTTGTATTATTCATAGACATACAGCTGCTTAGCTGCGCGATTTTTGAGTCGGGCGCGGCTGAAGGCGTGGCTGTCAAGGGATCACGTGTCTTGCGGATGTGGGATTTGTAGTATTTTTGTGACATAAACTACATATCCCTAGATCCTGTGCGCGTGCTGAAATCGATTGTTTGCAGCCGTTGCCATGTATGCCCCGTTTACGCCATCATGGCTGGCAGTCCTTCCCGTGTATATGCTGCTCTCGTACCGGCCAGGGGAGATAATTTGACAAATGAAAACGACGCAGGATTGGGCTGGTCCGTTAAACGCCCCGGTCCGAACTGCCGAAGCCCAGGGGGTGAGATTCAGGTGACTGGCAGCGCCGAAGTGACCAGCCCACCGGACCGGGCTGTGCTGTGCATCAGCGTCAGTAACGCTAAAGGGTCGGTGAGCGATGTCACCGAGAGTGTAACTCGGAGGCTGGACTATATCCTGCAGACTCTGAGACAGCATGATGTTAAGGTATGCTTTATGCCACGGAAGTGAGCATTTACATTTATCTATTAGGCAAAACAACTTATAAATTAATCAGTTTATACATCGCAGGCATATAGCAAAGAGCCGACTTTGGTTTAAAAAAAAAATAAAAAAAATTAGCCAGAATCGAGTACAAGACAGTCGTGGAAAAAAAGAAAATACACGAACACAGTCTAAAAACTAGAACTGGGATTGAGTTGTAGTTTTAGCAAATCTCTACAAGTTTTCAAGTGCACTTGTTTCTCTTTTTTCCATTAAGTCGAAATGTCTGAATATCTAACCTTAACGAACTGGGTTTTACATGTAGAAAAAAGTACAAGCTACAGCTTTTGGTTTCGGCAGAGATTGGCATGTTGTACACTACTAGTCAAGTTTTTATACACACTGATATTTTATACATTTGCATGATACTTACTTAAAATTCACTAAAATAAACTCAGTATTCTTTGCTAACAAATACATTTACGGTAGGTAGGTTCACCATTTGAGTACCTTTGTTAGCAAGAAAAAGTCCTATCATTGATTCATCAAAGTAACCTCCTCTAGCAGTTATAACAGCAGAGAAAATTCGAGGCATTCTTTCTACAAGGGACATTAAATACTGCTCTCTTTCATGGGATGAAACGGAAAGGACAGCCTAGAATTTGGCTATGCCATCACCACACAACCAGTTAATAGAATGTCAGACCTGCACTGTGATTTAACAAGAATGAAAAAATCTGCAGTTCATGAAATAAATGGAAAAGTGGTAAAAACCTTTGGTGTGCAAAAACTTTTGCCTGGTAGTGTAGGTGTGAACGTGTGTGCAGTAATTAATTCCCTTTTTAGGAAGAACACACAACTGTGACTAAGTCCATAAGAAGAGAAGACGACATGTATTACATGGAGGCTGAGGTAATCGCACAATATCGACTGCATGCAGAGGGAACCTGTCCTTTTGAGAGCAATGTGAAACTAGTTTCATTTCCTATCAGTTTTTTAGGTATTTGGTTGTTTTTCAAGCTGTATCCTGTGAAACCTACACCTGCACAGCCGTGCTGCCTGATCGCTTCCACTGCATGGTGTTTGTTTTGGGGACGTGAATTAAATAAACGAGATGAGAGAACTTTTGTGGTGCCGGTATGTTCTACATTGAAAAATGCTTACTGGTTATAATGGAATGAAATTTTGGTTATGTGGCTGCTTACCTTTGACTACTGCTGTCTGAAGCATGGAATCAGTGAGGTGGACAGGGGATGTTGTGTTATTGAAGTGCACGACTGCATAGGCGTCGCATTTGTGCATTAGTATGAGATGGATCACCCTTCCTAACAAGTATGCATTGCTGCTTATGCGTGTGTGTGCCCCCAGGTCAGTGCAATATTCACAGACTTCGGAAAGATGCAGGCTGTGAGCAACACGCTGGTGGAGAAGCTGGACAAGACGGTGTCAGTGTACGCACCTCAGTTCTCTCACAGCACCGAACACCTGGCTCAGCTGAGGTGGGCAGTAGCTTCACCTTCTCTTCAACGACCCAGTCAATCATGAGCCGGCAAGCTGCTCATCTGTCCGCTGGAATCAACTGGAAGAGCAGTTTAGTGACTTGTTTGCCGGGTCAAACACTTATCCATTCTTCTTAAATGGATTCAGATCCATAGAGCTTATTACTTGCTTAGACACAAATAGCATCTGTTGATTACGCCTTTAGTAGATACAGGGGTTGAACAATGAAACTGAAACACCACAGTCATTTATTTGTATAGTGTAGGGCCTCCTTTTGTGGCCAATACAGCATCAGTTCATCTTGGGAATGACTGATACGCATTTTGAGCAATTCCTCTTGCAGAACTGTGGCCAGGTCACTATGTGATGCTGCTGGAGGAAAACGTTTCCTGACTCGCTCCTCCAAAACACCCCAAAGTGGCTCAATAATACTAAGATCTGGTGACTGCAGGCCATGGGAGACGTACAACTGCTCTTTCATGTTCACCAAACATCCAGTCTTGCTGTACTGGTGCATTGTCATCCTGGTACACGGAAACACATTCAGGGTACAATGTTTGAATCATTAGACGGACATCGTCCTCCAGAATGGTTCAGTAGTCATTGGCAGTGAGGTGCCCATCTAGAACAAAAGGGGAATGCCATGATATTGCAGACCAAACCATCACTCTGGATATGCAACAATCCATGGAAAGTTAAGGTGTGCATTTAATTCTGCAGTGAGTTGTGCAGCTGTGGTTTTTTCTGGATGCAGTCCGGGTTAATAACCGGACATCTCTTTCAGACGGCTTCCTCTTGCATCTAGTTACTCCTGTTGGATGTGGTATGCTGACATTACCCTGGATACTGTAGCACTCGATGCACCACAAACACTTGCTGTCCTGGTCACAGACATGCCAGCGAAACGCGCACCGACAATTTGTCCTTTTCTGAACCGTTATGTCTCCCATTTTGTTGCGTGCTAATGCTCTGCTAGCTCGATCTTCGCACTCTGCACATTCCATCAGTTGGAGCAATCAGTGAAGATTGGCCGCCTGGCCAGACATACATAGGTGTGAATCCTCAAGCACTGTTGAGCTGGTGTTTGTTTCATCGTCCAGTCCCTGTACATACCACAGTAGTAGCGGCAAACACACTTCTTGGTGCGTCTCCGTGTCTCCAGGAGGAAGGCATGTGTGGCGGCAGTGGCCAATGCCCAGCAGAAGGCGCGAGAGGCGTGCAGCCTGGTGGGACAAGTCCTGGGGCGACCCTTGCTCATCAGGGAGGAGGAGAGCCGGGAGTGGAGTGGGGATGGCGATGAGGCCACGCCCCTCCCACGGGCATCCCTGCAGCAGTGGATCAGACAAGCCACCGTGTCAGTGGCAGCACAAGTGTCTATCACCTTCCAGATCCGGCCAAGGGAACGAGCAAGAAAGAGACACTAATACAGCACATTGTCTGTGGCAACTTTTATTACATCTGCACTGTGCAGCTTAAGAGATTCTGCCCCACACTACAAGTATTAACACTAAACTGTACAACTCTTCCTGACTTTTTTTTTTTATATATATATACAGATCAATAAATAAGCTTTTCCAAACACGCAAGTAAAGCACAGAAATCACACAATTCCTTGACATTATGACAGAACCTAAAAAATTCCCCAATTACACTTTTTACACATTTTAATAACTTCATATTTTTCAATACAGCTTCTGCATAATTTAAATCATGATTTCATCATCTTTTACTATTAAAAAAAATTAAATTCACAAAGCATTTTCATTTACATTTCACTACATAGGGTATGACCCCCCTCCCTCCCTGATTTTGGTACTCATTCAATCTCCATCCAGCCTGAAGTAGTTGACAGAAATTGAGATGTATCCTTGTCTCTCTCAAGCGCCGTGTAGGAGGGAGTTTCATGGTGCTAGGGGCGCTGTGAGAGGCAGTTCTTACAGGAACTCCTCTGCCACTGCTCTGCAGCTGCGCAGCCGGTGGCATCCTCTGCGCAGACGCACTTCAGTCCTCCGGGAATAGCTCCTGCAGCCAGGGCTTCATGACAAAACGCTCCCCGTCAAAATGGCTGAAATAGTTGTTCAGCGTGGGGATGTCCGGCTGCCGAAAACATAGGGACACTCAGGGGCGGCGCCCACAGCGTTTACGCTGACTGCCGGTCACACGCAGCGTACCCATGATGCACTCAGGATTTATACAAGCGGTACTTTTCAGAGTTGGGATCATTTCATGAAAGTAGCCCCTTTACTTCAAAAATTATTCAGACACTTTCATCTAAAGTGACGTACAACTGAGAAAGCAGGATAAAACAGGCCCTGGAGCAGCTGACTTAAGGGGCCAACGAAGAAATCACTCTGCCAACTATGGGATTTGAACTGGCGACCTTCTGATCAGGGGTACTACTACAGGTACCACCACTACGATATGTGGATTTTTCATCTACGTTTCTGTAGCCTGTTCTTCTATTGTGTTATTACACCCCTAATATATGCACACGCACACACAATACCTTGAAACCTGTGAAAAGCTTTAGCGACGTTTGGGGAAGATACCCCACCAAGATGGACGAGGGTCCTGGGCCATTGAAGATCACCTTGTAATGAGGAGTGTCTTCAACTTTCTGCAACTGCAGGAAGCACAAAAGGTTTTAAATCCGCCTACTTTTAAGGTCGCAGCATGCAAAACAATGCAACAATACCTTTTTTTTTTAAGTTTCATATCCAGTTTTAACAGATTACAATAATAATAATAATGAACTTGTGCTCCTTTGGAGTGCAATTTTTGCATATTTGCATCGATATTCTGTAACTCTGGTAGACAAGCATTAATTCACATTAATTCACCTTAAGTCAAGCAGTGAGTGAAATGCGGGAAATGCCCTGACCTCATGCTCCGAGTACATTCTCTGTATCCACTCCTGGGGCGCTTTCAGCTTCTCGTCCCAACTGACGATCACGCCCACCATGTGGTTGCCTTGCGCCATCACCACCTGCCCTACCCTGTGCAGGACGTATGCTGGACGAGGACTGCGGACCTCCCTGGACGCTGGAGAGGGTCCCCGGGGGAAAACACGTTTTCAGGCCATTTTAAGTTCTTGTGGGAGGCAAAGAAAGAGTTCAAGCGCCGGCGTGGCTTCAAAACTGGCGCTCACCTCCGAAGTAGCCCTGGTTATTATCGTAGAGCAGCACCTCCAAAGCAGGAGATTCTCCCAGAGGATCCAGTTGCTCCTCAGCAGCTGCGGGCCTGATTAGGACGGGCACACCGTTCAAACGCTCCGCTGGTGCGATCTGCTCCGTAAACCGCACGTTTGAAATCAGATTTGACAGAAGCTTCTTACAGAAATGTAGATATCCATTGTTTCGCCCAGTCTGTCCACGCCGTCACATTCAGATGATGTTTCTTTAAGTCGTTCCAGACTCTAAGAAGCCTGCAAAAAAAAGTACATAGCAAACAAACGAAAAACGTAAGAAATTTCAGAGGCAATGCCCATCCGTATATATATAGGTGACAGCGACATCAAGAGTCACATGTACCGCATAGTGGCGCGGTGGCGTTCCGCCGACGGCGTCCCGGTCCACTTGGAGATGAGAAACTGAACGGGCAGCGCGGACAGAAGCAGCGTTATCTGCAATAGCGCTACAGGTGATATTCGTGGCATCGTCTCCTGAATTCAGAGTATGGACAGACTTCGAGGTTGGAAGCACGTTGACAGATTAATTAAAAACACTTAAAATTTTAAACACTTACAGAAAACTGCAGACAGTAGTTGCGCCTGTTAACCAAATAATAACGAGATGCATAATAGCTCTTCACCAACGTTCTGTACACTAATACCGAAATTAAGCAGATATGACAGCGCCTACCGTAAGTCAAATGCAATATAGTATCGTAAAATACATAGAGCACGTAAACTTCCGACAAGCTCCCTCGTTTATGTTTGCTTTTTTTTATTTAAAAAAAAAAAAATCTCTCGGGAATGCATGTTTTCATATAGATAAAGCAACAATCACGTACCTATTCAGGTGCAAGTGGTCAGTTATGCTTCAAATTCTTTGAAAGAACCGCCAGTAGGTGCAGACAGTTGCTTAGTCGCTTCTTATTAGTCTTCGTCTAAGCACTGAAGCAAGACGACGAAAACGGGATCTTTCCACTGCCATCTGACAGTTTCTTTTGCAAGGGGCTGTAGTTTCACTCTAGCACCTGTGTATCTAAAAAAATATTAAATTGACAAGCCGTTCAAACGTCCAATCGCAGGCGCCCACGAAAAGCAAAGGCGCCTCTCTAACTCCGCCACGTCAGGGGACGCGCTTCACATTGATGCGTCGCATTCGGCCCGCCGCAGTGACACGGGGTTGCCGCAAGGGGGAAGCGTTTCCGCGTTAAACGCACCGGCTCAGCGTCCGACTGCTGACGGTAACGAATCACAGCTTGAGATGTTATAGAAATGCTGAGCATTAGATTCCATTACAAAAATCTTTTAATTTTCAGTATACAGTATACAGATTCCTTGTATATGCAGGTTTACTTGACTTTTATTTAAAAAAAAAAGGAATTACAAGACATGGAAACACAACTGTTTATTTCTTAAAAATATCAGTTATGTACTAATATGACAGCAGTACTCTACACATACATTCTAGGTGAGGTTTTTTTTTTTTTGCCTTTGGGTTTTTTTCTTAAAAAAGTATACAAACTAACATAGAAAGCCCCCTCCCCAACCCTCCACAGTAGGACAAAATCTTCCAAACAGCCAGTAAGAAAAACTTAAATGAAATCGGCATAGGGAGAGATGGAAGCAGGGAAACCCCTTTACGGGTGGGGGGTACAACACGGTTTTCACACACTTTTGGGAATCTTTAGCTGATCCCTCCCCCGCCCCACAGTTAAGTGACAAACACATCTCTGTGATTTTGGAACGTGTTACATACATCATGTACAATACCTTAACAGGCAGTCTGTCTGTTTTAAAAGGAGAGGGAGAAATCATAAGTAATGGTTTTAAAAAAATACCATTTAAGCACAATTAAATGCACCAATATATCTACTGTATACCTGCTCGTATAATGACAGGATATGACAAAACACTACAGCGACAGCATGTAACAAGCATTGTATTTACACGTCAATTTTCCTACACAGTATAGATCGCCGTTTCGTGACTTGTACCATGTTAAGCTTCCAGTGTATCACCAAACATGTATTTGGTTCACTGAACCTGCTTAAATGAAATAAGGAAAAAAAAAAATTAAGACATTCATGAAAGGTCCTTTAAAGGTAGCAGGACTGTACTACAGTGTTCAGTAAAATGTTTTTGGCAACAACAAAAAACCTCTAAAAGCAGACAGGCTGCTGTTAAGTACAGAACCACACAGTGCGCATGGTCTGAACAATACATGTCCAAACCCAGCCTCAGAGGCGTCGAACACCTTAAATCATTTACAGAAACGCACCCCTAACCTCCAGCACATCCTGCGTTGCAAAGATGCGAGGAAAAAAAAAAAAATCCCAAAGTATACAAGGCACAATCATCAAACAGGATTTTTCTGGGAATGCTTCTCCTGTGTCAGCATTAGACATGCCTGAAAAAGTGCAGCTAAAATTCATGCAATGCTCAATGAAACATGGCTGCACATAACGGAGATGTGGCCACAATCAAACGAAGAGGAAAAACACTTTAAAAAGATTTTACAAAAAATATAGGAGGTTAACCGAATCTACATATTTTTCCTAAGAAATAAACAATGTATTAAACTCCAAATATTGTAAGTGCATATTAAAGTTACACAAACAAATAATTTGCTGTACCTTAGGTATTTTATATAATATCTTGGCTACGTAGTATCAACATGTATATACTATGGACATCTGAAATACACCGGACAACTCTTTTTAATCATTATTTAAAAAAAAAAAGGAAAAAAAAAAAAAAAAAGAGAGAGAAACTTAGGTCATCCAAGGTTTTGCAATGGCGTTGAAGTGCAAGCCATCCTTTTCAATCACTCCGGTTGGGTCCACACTACAACATACCACCATGGCTCTCCCCAGGCACACAAACACTTCAGGTCCATGTCAGTCTTTGGCAAATGTGTCATACTCCCAAACTTACATAAAACCGAAGGCTAAACAGCTGAGAAATGGGATGACAATGGAACATGTCTAGTGTCTCATGAGATCCGTGTTCAGCCCCATCACCAACAGGCACCTTGGTTGGTATTTCCTTAGCCACCAGCTTGGAGATGTTCCTTCTTAATTTCACTTTCTTGTTTAAGGACACCCTGTCCCACACCGACTGTTTATTACTCTTTTGTTTTGTCACTACGTTACTTAATACCCAGATCCATTCGGCAGAAATAAGAAAAAATCACGCTGGAAAATGAGTTCAAGCCGTGGGCGGACTACAATGGAAATTTCCTGGACTTGCGTTTCCTGATATGAATTTAAATTCGCCAAGGACAAAGGAATCAGCATTTTTTTATTTTTTGGACAGAGGGAGAAAATACCTTGAGATTCCCCCATTCAGTCCCAACAGACAATGAGCATAAGCCGAATTTCTGCGGGCACGAAGGTCCCCGTATGACAAAGACGCCGGGTGCGGGGCGACCCTGGTGCCATTATGATGATGCCATTTCAATTACGCCGGCCGTCCATCGTGACCAGCACGACATCGCCGCCGCGGGCTGCCGTGTAGTGGGGACCGCCGCTCCCCCAAGCTGACGTCGTAAAAGCTGGCGCATCCGCATGCTTTCGGCTTCGTGTACCATCACAAACGGCTGGTCGCGGGACCACCGTCCTATACATGTTTTACTTCTTTAAAACGTACCAAAATGCTGGAAAACCAAACCGCATTATCCCGAGATACCAATCCGGAGAAGCTGCGGGATACCGGGATCTCTCACCCAACTTATTCCGTATTTTCCTTTCATCTTTTTTCCCAAGGTAATGCTCTCTGTGCATGGGTGAATAGTAGCCTATATTCATATGAAATTCCGCAGCCAAACAACATTTAAAACAGTGTTTTAATTAGCCTACGTGATAAAATTGAAACTAGCGTCGCAGTTATTTGTCTCCCCGAAACGCTGACATTCCGATCAGCTCCACCACTGATTTCTTCATTCACATATAGTTTACAAAGAAAAGAAAAGGAAAACTTTCTTTGGGAAAATGCGTCTATAGACCACCGTCCTCGCTGGGATATCCGAATCAGGTCGTTTCTCCCGAACTACACGGCTGGATCCGCAATGTGCGTTTTCAGATCCATTTCACTAGATATTAAAAGACGTTTGGTGACTAAGCGCTCGAACAAACCAGCGACACTTGATACTCATTTTCTCGGTAGCAGGGTTCCGCCAATTCCTTCAATACGAAAAGCTAATGAACCAAGCGTCCCATCGGAAGATCTGACTAAAAGAGGCCTGCAGTAACTGAGGCAGATCCACGCACAAACTGCGTCCACTTGGTCACCCAACGTGTTTACTGGCTGCTCAAAACTGCCAGCTACTGCGGATGGGGAGGCAAAATCTATACACGTGGTCCTCGGAAAATCTCAGCTATACTATAGCAGCCTGCCAGTGAAATGGTTTAAATAAAAATGTGTTTAAGATTGAATGATTCATGTTAAACCATATAAAGGCACAATTTATTGCTAAATCTAAAGTCTGTATTTACTCTTAATATTCAGGACTTAAGTGTGTTATATAATGGAAAAAAACTTGAAAACAAATGTAAAAGACAATTCCCTAACACTAGCCATGCTGTTATCAAGTTTTTGTTTGCTTTAAGTTCTAAATAATGTATTGTACGAAGTCACTGTACATTTTTTACTCCATATGGCCAAGCTGCAGGTGGGATGGTGGATAAGGGTTCAAGAAACCAGAAGCCTGTGAGTTCTAGTCCCTGGAAGGGCCCCAAACGTACACTGCAAAACAAGGTAAAGTATACAGCTGTATGAAATGGTCAGAGGAGAATGCCAGGTTGCTTTGGATGAAAATAAATAAATAAATAGTGAGATCACAACTGGGATGGAGTCATCACATCTACCTCTGATTCACTGGGGGAAATTTATATTTATATATATATAAAAAGAAAAATTACCAAAATCAAAAATAACTTTCAATGTTCTGGCAATTTCCAACCCCTGGAGCAGCAAGATACAGGATAAATAGTTAGGTTTGCTAAGAGATATGGCACTGCCTTTAACAGGGCTGTTAAACTGGAAAAATCACAGAATGAGGGTGGAGCTAGACCGGTGGGGGGGCAGGGGGGGGCGGAGGGGCTTCAATCTCCCTTCACCCTATGCGGCCTTGCTCAGCACACTCAGACTGAAGTCACGGCAGCACGAGAAGGTACGATGCGCAAGTAGAAACCGTACAAAAACACGATTATAAAAGGCTGATGAGCACAGAGCAACATTTTCAAGTCAATCTGAGCTATAGAGACAAAAAAAAAAAAGAAAAGACAATTCTGTTTGAGAAATCCCAGACCTTTAGTAAAGCCATTTCACAGGCTGGATAAAGTGAAACAGCAGCTCCCATTCAGATCTCTGCAGACCACACTGAATGGGCATAAACGGGCCAAGCTATTCCTGCCCACCGTTCGTGGCATGTAGTCCCCTGCTGGCCGATACCTAATCCTCATGCCGCGCGACTGATGACATGGGACTGATGTCGGTCAAAATCATAATCTCGTTCAAGGGGAGCGTTGACGTCTGAAATTTCCATCAGACCTTATATTGTGGCTATTGCGTGTGAAGGCTAAAACTGTAGCATGTGAGCGTGAGTGAGGGAAACACATTATCAAAGTGTGGCCGTCTAAGGGCCCTGGTTTTGGTCCCATGCGCCGGTTCAGCACTGGATGCACAGCATTTAGCAGCAAAGTTTCGCATTGTCCTGGGGGGGGGGCCTCTCACCAGGACATCACGGAGAAAGTCAACCAGCCAATCAAGTTGGACCTGGACTCCTCCGTCTGTTATGTCCTCTCACCAACCAATCAGGTTGGGCTCTGCCTTGTCCATCAGTTACATCCCTTTCTCACCAGCCAATCAGGTTGGCTTTGGCCTTCTCAGTCAGCTTCCGCACCCTGCCTTTGCTTGAGGTGCCGAAAGTGATGGAGGCGTCCTCAAAGAGCAGCTGCCTCTGCTCCTCCTCGGAGTCATCTTCGTTGTAGAAAGCCGTCCTGCGGCCCTGGTTCCGCGTCTTCATCGGCGCCTTGACGCCCTCATCGTCCTCGCCCTGCTCATCCACCTCCGGCTCCACACGCTCCGACGCCCCTCCTATGTCCTCCTGCAGGGCTGCTGGTGCCGGAAGCTCCTCATTCTGCCTCCTGCTGCTCCTCCGCAGGACCCTGGGGCTGGAGGGGTCTTGGCTGACCGGAGACTCGTCCGGTGGCTTCAAACTCTTGGGCTTTCTTCCCCTCCGCGGCCGGCCCGCATCCACAATCCCAACCACTGTGGCGGAGGTAACATTCACAGCCTCATCACTGGCAGACTGTTCCTCCTCCTCGGTCTCCGTGCTGTTCCACTGCCCTGCTCCCCGCAGCGCCTCCAGCTCCTTCTTGCTCTTGCGCCCTCGCTTCTTTCCCGGCGGCTTGACGACGACCTCTTGTTTCATCGGTGTCTCCAACTTGGGCCTGTGCCCTCGCCGCCCTATGTCCAGCGTCAGGTGACTGCTATGGCCATTAAGCTGGACGCTGTTGGGGGTGCTAAGACTCTGCTGGGGGGTCACTATCAGGGAAAAACACAGATATGAAAAATAAACTGCACAAGCCAAACCGCCCTAAGCGGCACCCAGACCGCTGGCACCCAGACCGCTGGCACGGGGGTCATGCCACCTCACCTGGGCGACGGAGTGTTGCAGGCCTCAGTTTTCGCCGCACTGAGTTCGTGGCACTGTCGGCGGTCTGTGAGAAGCCCCGGGCATTTTCTGTGTCGCTGGAGAGACCTGGGGAGGAGATGGAGTTCTGGGCTCTCAGATACTTGTATGGCGTCTCTGTCACTGAGGAGGAAGCACAGAACAGTCAGTCACACCTAGACTTTTACAGTAGGCAATGCCCATCCGTATATATATATAGTATATATATAAAGTAACCAATCATCACGTGGACATGAGAGGAGGTAACCAATCATCACGTGGACATGAGAGGAGGTAACCAATCATCACGTGGACATGAGAGGAGGTAACCAATTGTGTGGGAATGAAGAGGTTACCAATCATCACAAGGACATGAGAGGAGGTAACCAATCAGCACATGGACCTATGAGAGTAAGCAACCTTTCACCACTTGGCCCTTGTTCACCCACCAGCTTTGCTTTTGCCAGAGAGCTCTCGATTGGCTGATGATGATGATGATGATGATGATGATGCTGGGTCAGCAGCCGTAGGGTTCCCATGACGCGTGGCGCTACGCGTGCGAACAGCTGCCAGGGGCTCCACCTTCCCGTTCATCTGGGACGGGATCTGTCTGAGCGCCGGAGGACGAGAGGGGCCCAGCGAGGGGGGGGACACGCTGGGTGCTGTTGACTGCGGGGCCCGGGCTGCACGGCGCTTGCGATCGGGGCTGTGGGAGAGCAGGTTCACATTCAGTTGTGTGGTCCCATACACACATACCCCCTATGCTGTTCAGCCACATGGTGCACCCCAACCTGGAGGCGGCACTGCTGGAGGGGGAGGAGCTCCGGCGACGCTTCAGCCGCTGCCTGGTTAGCTTATTGGCCGAATGGAAGCGGTGGGCGGAGCGGTATTCGGAGACGATGGACGACACGTGCTCCTCAAAGAGCGCCGAGAGTCGCAGGCTCATGCTATATATCTGCAGGGGAGGAAAGCATGTCAGAACCTCAGGCCGCATGACTGCAATGCGGCACTCATACCTGCAGACGCTCTGATCCCACACATCTGCACATTTGCCTACAACAGCCTTGAAGGAAAGCAAAGGTCTAAATCCACTCATTCTCCATCTTTGCAGAAAATGTCCCAACAGACATGCTGGTCACTTGTCACGCTTCAGGCTTCCATCTCTTGTGCGTCCATATTTTTGTTCTATTTCACCACCTGCACACCTGAGCCAGGCAATGAAAGGCCTGAAGATCAGCAGACTAGTGAAACCAGGTGTGCAGGTGTTGGATGGGTCAAGAATTTGGTTGAGAACCACAGACAAACAAGAGCCGGGGCACTGAAGGACACCTCTGGCAAAAGCAGTCATGTGCATGCAGCATTATTTCCTCATACCCGAGACTTCTTGCTGGGCGTGTACGCCTTCGAGTTGCTGAATATGAGCCGCACATCTTTGCGCAAGTCAATGGGGGATTCATAATCTCCAGCCAGTAGCGTCTTCAGTACCGTGCCAAAATCCATTGGCGTGTCGATGATGTCCGTGTAGTCCTAAACACGGTCGAGGACAAGGTTACTCATTAGCACTGTCTGAACACGAGGCTTACGTACCACTTACTTCAAACTAGGCCTAACTTGCTCATTAGTAGCATGTCAGTAATAACAGCTACAGATTTTGCTCAGGTGGTCTGTGGTACCGGGTATAGCTGCAGGTCCACCGGCTCACGGAAGGGCTCGGAGTCCTCGCACTGGAAGATGAGGTCCAGCAGCTCCTTGCAGCGGCTCCTCCAGGCCTTTATGTCGTACGACTGCGCCTTGTTCCTGAGCTTCCTCAGGATCGGCTTGTGCTCCTGTACGCAGCAGACGGGACAGAGGCCCAAGTCGTATGAGCAGATACTACCAGCGGCACACGCACTACAGAGACGTCGGCATCAGCCTGTGACACGACAGCTAACGCCATCAAGGATACCTTCTTCTTGCGTGTGGACGTCCCGGGAGCGTCGGTGTCCTCTTCCTCTTCCTCCTCCTGTAAGAAATAGTGCACTTCAGAACTTTGAAGTAGGTGTCTAACTTCCCATGGACTGTCCAGTCAGAAATCTTTGTGCGAGTACTGCTGACCAATGCCACTTGGCATTTCTTAGCACGTACCTCTTCGGTGTCAGAGAAAGTCTTTTTCTTCATACTGTTGTACAGAGGAATAATATCGGTGCAACTTTGGTCCCTAGTTCATGAAAAGAAAGCAAAACAGTATGAAAGTTTGTATTTTTTGGATGCATAGCATTAACGTTATATTAAGCAGGAACTACAGATCTTTTAATAAAGTTATCAAAAAACTAAATGAAAAAGTCAGATCAACGCATGCCGTACTTTATGAACTGCAGCATTAAATCTGAAAAGAATTTGGCTGTTTTGACGATGGTTGTTCCTGGCTCGTTGAAGGTTTGTGCGTTGTGCTCTATGTAGCGGACCTCCCACATCAGCGACGACATCCGCCTGCAGGGGGCAGCAGAGAGCAGATAAGCCAGGCATGAGCGGATCACCTGCGGGGTACCACTGTGAGGCTCAGGAGCCTGATTCCAACCTGTAGAAGCGGTTCTTTAGCCTCTCCTTGATGGTGCTGAGGTCCGTCGGATAGGCCACTACGGTGCAGTAAGTGGGATATGCCTGCAGATCCACGGGGGACGCGAATGGGGCGGCGATGTCTGGGAGAGGGCGGAAATCAGGACACGACAGATTGCAGCAGCCAGACCATTCGTGTTTTTGTGTGACTATGTAAGGATGATTGGCAGCGGTTTTGGTTAAACGCATGTGGTGGTACGTGGGGGTTTGCGGTACCTAGCGTGCAGAGGCGGTCTATGCCGGCGATGATGCGCTCGCACTCCTCATTGCGTGTGCGGGACCCCCACTCGCCCTCCAGTGGCACGTAAAGCAGCTGCCGATGCTCCTCTTCCGTCAGGGGCACGCTCTGGCCCAGCTCGTCCGGAAACACAGCTGTGTGGAAAGCAGGGGGTGAGACGGACCATCGGCGCCCAGACCATCTCACTCCCCCGAGACATGGCCTGATCCAGACAGAGTCACTGTACCCTGGTAAACCTGTCCGAGAGAAATTCTCCCTACAGAAGCCTCAGCTCTTCCTCTCTTTTGGTTAAACACGGGACAAAAAGGAAACATTCAGTAAGTCAACAGGAAACGGCTATATGCGAGAGATTTTCTGGTTTCAAATTTCCAGCATAAATAAATACATAAACGCCAGCAGGTTTCCCCGAGTATATTACATCTCAGCGGCTTCAGCAGACCTGCTTGCAATGTTAGCAGCTGGGGATAAACAGCTTGTCTACACATAATCTACAGCCATAATACAATCATTTTTTCAGCATCTCAAAGCCTGTGCCAGGTCATTAAAACTGCAAATAAAATTTAAGAGGCCCAAGGAATGAATACAATCACTTATACGAGCAAACACAAAGGAAAAACAAGATGACAACAATTATACTGGAGAGGTGAAGTTCACTGTCCTGTAAGCACAAGCCAGCGGTGGAAGAGTTTTGCTAAAAACACAGGACATGTGCTGACATTTTCACTATTAGCGATTTACTTTTATTACTACACCCCCCTCCAAAAACCAGGAGTCATTATTAATAATTACACTGATTATAGCAACTGTTGGTAAAGTAACACATGATAGGTGTGAACTAGTCAGAGAGCAGGGCAAATCCCTCGTAGCAGATCTCATCCCTTGCTAAAGCTCAGTAGGGTGGAGCCATTTCTGTGTGTGTGTGTGTGTGTGTGTGTGTGTGGGGGGGGGGGGGCTGGATTACTGACTGATTCCACCAATGTGGCCTCAGGTATTGCAGCACTGTTGCAGCATCACCTCTAAGCACCTCAGTTTGTGACACCAGACAATGTGCAGCACCTTCTGTACAGGACTGGAAACAAGAGGACAAATAGATTCCCCCCCCCCACCCCAATTCACTAGTCAAATGGCTACTCTAATGCCCCCCCCCCCGTCCGTCCGTCCACCTGTTCCCAGCAGGACCTGGGGCAGCCACACAGGGCCACGTTAGTCTCCCCGCCTTAAAGCTAAAAGCCGCTGTCACTCACCATCATTGGGGATGACCTCCATGTCCCATGGGCTCATCTTCTCCGTGTCGCCATTGTCCCAGCTGTGGGAGAGAAGGCTACAGGTGAGAGGCTGGGTGGGGCAAAACGAGTGGGTGGGGCTAAACAAGTGGGTGGGGCTAAGAGACAGATGCACACGCACCACACGTTGTAACACTGGAACAGACTGTCGGGGTACTGAGACTGGAAGGGCTCCTGGCTCTCTATGGTGCCGAACCACCAGGCGTCATCAATGACCGAGCGAAACCGGTCACCTGGGGGGGGGGGCAGAAAGGCCTTCGTCAGACATCACGCTGTTTACCAAAACGTCAGAAGTGTGCAGAGGCATTGGGAAAAGCCTAATTTCACCCATGAATGTTTGTGAAACGAAATCCTAGCTGAGCACACAGAAACATGATATTTTCAGGAGCCTGTTAAATAAACAAAAACAGACAATGTCATTCAACAGCCAGGAAGTAGGAGAAAAATACACGCTGTGTCTGCACACAACTAGAGGAGATAAAAATCACCCTCCAGAAACCCCCTTAATAAACGTTCAAATAATGATTCATCATGATTCATTTCCCGGTTTTCTCATACTTCCCAGGAGAAAAAAAATATCACTTAGGTCATCCATACACCTCATCCAACAACATCACCTCAACATCTGTCCATTTCATAGCACATAAAGCCTTGATAGTCCTCCAAAGACCACCCAACCTCCTCCAAATGCCACAAACTGCGACATGGACAGGCATTTAAATGATGCACATCTAATATTTGATGCCACTCTCCACATCAGCAGCTCAGACTGGTGTAACATGCTCCCTCACAACTCATTCATACATCATACTCTATAGACTCCCAATCTGAATCGATAAAAACTCTAAGCTAGAACTCAACAGTCCTCTTTTTGAACTTATTCAAATAAACTATTTATCAACAATCAACATCATCCCGTGCAGTTTTTTTGGAGCCAATCTAGAAGATAGACGACATCAACCTAAGTGACAGGAAGCTCCCCATATTCATGTAGATGTAGGTATTTTCAGCATGGGGGCCGCTCTGAACATCTGGGCACACTTTGATGCAGCATTAAGAATGAGGGTGGGGGGTGGTGGGGATACGCAGTTGAAGGATGAAGGACACTGACCTATTCTCCACTGTCTGTGCCTGGCATCATCAAACTGCTGCCGGAGAACCAAGAAGTCAATGACGTCAGGCATGTCGTGGTACCTACAGACAGAAAACACCGCACCTTAAACCAAAGCGCCTTAGTGTTCCTTCACTGGACTTCTCACCAACAAGCCATTTACATTTTACTTGTTTTGCAGATGCCACATACTGTTTGTACTGTGCTTATTTCATTATTTCATTATTACTTTGCAAAATTGTATCAGTTGTGCTGATGCTTTTTTTTTTTTTTTTTAAGTACGTAATTTTTTACCATATTTGTTCTATGTTTATTTAAATAGTCTTTTATGGCCGTGTGTAGGAAAGTTGCAAACAATCATCTTGTAATGAGCAGTGTCAATGACATTAAAGATATTCATTCATTCAGATGTTTTCCAAAACGTTATACATTCCAGAAGGCATAGTCAGGCAGTCCCTGAAGCAACTGGGGAGTAAAGGATTGGATCAAGGGGTCCAGTGGTGACATTCGAACCTGTGACATTCTGATCACAGGCGTAGCCTCCTAACCGGCTCACAATACCACACCTCCCCCGATACTGATTGTGCAGACCCAAGGCTCGAACCCGGGTCCGTCCACAGCAACCAAACGAGCCACTGAGCTCGTCCTCTGTGTGACCACGGTGCCCAGTGTCCCAACCGAGGCGCCCGCTCTCACTTCATGGAGAAGGAGCCCCCGGTGAGCCGGCCGGTATCGGGGTCCAGGAAGGCCAGCTTCAGGCAGCACAGCGTGGGAAGGCCTACTTCGTACTTGAGGCCTACGATCTTCATCAACTCTTGCTCCTGTTGAGACAACGAACCCCCCCCATGCCTTTCAGTGAAAATATACTCGACCCCCAAACCCATCATCCCTCGAACAGGCAGCGCTTGTAGCCACTCAGTTTTCTTAAACACTCTTATTAGAAGCCTTAACGTCCTGTTAAAACGCCTAATGCCAGTGGAGCATACACCTTCATGTTCATTATGTTTACCATTAACATCCACTGGCAGCCATTCTATACGGTTAGAAATGGTGCGTAAAAAGACGACCGGGTGGGCCCTAAACGCGCCGTGATGGGCAAGCTGGTGTCGCCAAGCGCTCCCCTCCTTACCCTGAGCTCCATCTTGTGCCAAGGCTGCTTCTTGGGGTTTATGCTGAAGATCTTGTTCTTCTTTGCCATTTCTACGTAGGCCTCGTGTCCTTGACGGAAGTAGTAAACCTGGGGGGAGGGAAGAAGAGCCACGCTGGAGACCTGGCTGTTATCAGGCAGCTGGCCGCTCCGTTTGGGGAGGGGGGGCATGGGTGAGGGGGGTGG